GACGCGCCCGTGATCTACGGGCTGGAGTTCCAGGTGGGCGCCGGGTCCCGCCGTCCCCTGGGTGCGCGGAGGGGCCGGGGCTGCCCCCGGCGGGTTTGGGGTTCCCTGGGCGGTGTCCGGGGCCGCTCGGGGTGCGGGCGAGGCCCCGCGGCCCCTGGGCCTCCCGTGGAGCGGCTACGGGGAGCGCGGGTGCGGAGCGCACGCACATGGAGCGCACGCACATGGAGCGCACGTATGGCAGAGCGGGAGCATGGACGGTTAAACGGTTGCGTCCCCGAGAGGGATCCCGGGATGCGGTGCCGGGAAGCTCCCGCTTGGCTCCGTGGGGCCCCGGTTGGGGGTGTCGTTGGGGTGGAGAAGGGCCCTTGCGTTGCGGTGCATGGAGCTGTTGTTAASCGTGTGTCCGGGTGTGCCTGTTCCCTGTGGGCACCTTTGCCAGGGAGCCCCGGGAGGCTCYGGGGAGGCTCTTGGGGGGTTTGGGAACCCTGCTCCGCTGCCCACCCCCTTGGGCTGCCTGCTCCGTAGCCACCTCATCACATCTCTGYAGCGTCTTACAGTCTTGTTGTCCTTTTTTGTTAGCTCCTGTTAGAGCTGACCTTTGCCGTGTGCCAGCCCTGCTGCGGTGTGACAGCCTGGCGCTGCTCTGTGGGCTGCTCAAAACCAGGAATCAGACCAAGCCTGTGCTTGGATTTCCTGTGCACCCCGCAGCGAATGTATCTCACACCTTAAAGAAAAGCGTCATTTCTCCACTGTATAAAATAAATCACCCAGAATCTTACCCAGACCACTGCCTGGGACCCCAGTGGTCCTGCCAAAACAAGCAATAGCAAACCCAAGAAAAACCCCTATGGTCCCATGGACCTCAACTCTCTTCAGGGTGTGTGACAGGGCTGTCCGGTGGGAAGATGGAGCAGAAGGGCTAAGAGGGAGCTGTAATCCAGAAAAAAATGCAGCAAATGCCTTTAGGAAGGAGAGTTCCTAGACTTTATGGCTAAGGCAGCAAAGGAGCATGGAGGTGAAGGCTCCAGTTTTGGTCTCCATCTAATGTGGCCTTAAAGGAAATGACATCCCTGTGCCCTCTGGGAGTGATCCTAAGGGAGAGACGTAAGCCTGAAACATGTATGGCTTTGGCAACTTGYAAAATGTGCTTAAAGGTTTCCTGCATAAGCCGTGCTTGACCTGTATTTTGATTTTTAGTTAGTTGTGAACAGGTTTTATGAAGCTGACCAGAGATTGTTGATTTGAGGGTTGGAGGCCTGTTTGCAAAGGCCGGGTGAGGCTTGATTYCCGTAAGGGAAAACATAACTTTTGGGAACAAAAATCTTGGTGGTACGAAGTACTGACTGCAAGTGGATTTGTCAAAGGCCTAGTACAGCATTGTCATATGTGAAAAACTAACAATATTGAGAGTGGCTCAACTGATTTACATTTAATCAAATGGAATAGAGTCGTTAGACTGACAGGGGAAAGGATATTCCTGGTGAAAGGAGGCTTTTAGGATGGTGCAGGTTCYTGGTACAGTGACCAGGGCTCAGGGCTGCCTGGTAGCCTTGTGTCTCTCCCAGCGCGGGGACCCGGAGGTTGCGGCTCCTGCTGGCACTGGAGTTCCCTTCACCCCAAGAAAACCTCTCTGGTATCTCTTATGTATTTAGGGATGTAGCTTTGGAGAATTTATTKTGGATCTTCTAAGTCAATTCAAGAAATTACATGTCTTCCTGCCACTGCTAGTGTCCATCTCGGTCCTCTTTCGCTCCTGAGCTTGTTTTTCTTGTGAGTGCTAGTCCAGGCCATGTTAAGCCAATATTCTTTCATTTGGTTTTCCCTCTGCCTCACTCCCTGTGTGCCTTTGAGGGCAGCATTTCAGCTGGGAGGACTTCTTGTAAAGTGTAARTTTAATGTATTATTAGATTTGAAGATTTACCAGAGGGGGGGGAAAAACAGATAAATGACACAACTCTTAAGTAATCCCCCAAAGATCTTTATAAAGCATGTAACGATTAGAACTATTTCTTTTAGGACCCTCAAGCAATTATCAAGATCCTAATAATATTATGCTGTGGTACTGCATGTTAATGGTATGAGGGTATAGTTGTGGAACATTGAGAAAAAAGCTATTAAAAGATGATTATTGGTGTTGTGCTTCATTTAAAAACAAACAGTGACCTGTGCGGTRTGGAAACAGGGTTTCTAAGGCTGCTTGTGCTGTGCAAGGTTTTGGGTGGAGGTTGTGGTTGTAGCTGTGAGGGTTTCCATAGGATTCCCTGGTCCTTGGAACAGGGTCAGTGCAGTGGCCACCTCAGTGGTGGGAATTCTGCGCTGGAAAAGCCTCCAAGGAAGCAGCTCTGTGAAGCACTGCAGGTCACTCCTCATGGGAGCTGCCTCCCCTTCCCTGCCAGCATCACTGCAGCTTAGGAGGGTCTCTCCTGGAGCTGGAGTGAGAGAAACAAGGCTGTCCTGTAAAAGTAAAGATCGAAGGGTTCCTGCTTGGAAATTGGGTTTATGCCAGAAGGGGCAAAAGTCAGATTCATGACATGAGCAGCCTGAGCTTTCTCTAGGGCACAACGCTTGTATTTTCCTTTCAGAAGGACCTACCAGCAAAGGCAAAGCTTTCCCTAAGCCCTGATGCAGCAATGCACCATTTTTCTTTTTCTGAATATGAAGAGATGATGGTCTAATAACTTGTTTTAGGTTTGGGGTTTGGGGACTGTAAGCCAAACACTGTGCTTTGCAGTTTGTGTTGCAGGGTAACTGCTTGTTAGGACAGGTTGATCTTGGGAACTTCAAATTACGTGTGGGTTGCAGAAACTCTCTTGATTGCATTACCCTTTCTGCAGCTGCTTTGGATGTTGGGGTGGGTACTTGTTGTCATCTGTTTGCAGATACCAAGCATCAGCTAGACAAAAAAATACATTGAAGAAGTATTCGGACTACTCAAGCAATTTTTTTTTCTTTGCCCCTAACACTGACAGCTAAATTCAAAAGGTATTTTTTTTATCTGTTTGGCTAGTATTTCAAATGATGGAGAGAAGGGGAAAGCTTCAGGAGAATTCATGAACACAGTGTAGTTATTTGGTGTGTTCACTAACATACTTGTTCTAAACCCTCTCTTTCTAGGTTTGTCATAGTGTTCCTGGGGCTTCTCTGTTGCAGGTGTCAGAGCCTCTTCCTTCTGCAGACTTGAGTTTATTGGTTTTATTTCTTTCTCCCCAAGGCTTTACTATTCTGCAGTTCTGCAGGTGGTCTGGATTGTCACAGTAGGATAGTAGAAGGTCTTTGCCCAACATAATGCTGAGCTTAACTTCACCATGGCCATAGTATCCACTTGGCCTGTCCCACCTTATACCTGATGGCTGCTGTTTCTCCCCTTAAGCTTTATTTTCACACTTGTGTTTTGTGCTTGCGCCCCCTTTGCACTGCCTAGATAAGTGTCTGTTTGTGCTTTATAGCAAAGCTTTTGTCCTTTCTCTGTGTGATGCGTTTCAGGATCCCTTTCTAAGACAAGGGAGCAATAAGCTCATGTGGCATCAAGGCTGTGTCTTTACTGTCTCTGAGCCCGTTGGTATTTTGACCATAGTATATACACAACAGGATCTGTTAAGCATGTGTGCCTGATGGGAATAACTTTTGAAGGATTGGCTTGTCTTGATTAGCACTGTTGTTTCCTTGGAAGAGGAGTTTACTCAAGTCTTCTTGCTCAAGCCAACTTGTGCCCTTTTCCTTATGGTTTATGTSAAGTCTTTCTAGGGAAAACTCTTTTCTGATTTGGGGCTTTGCCCACCACTACAACTGGGGAAAAATGGTCATGTTCCTTGTTATTTTTTGTTATCTGATGGAAAGCAGAATAATAGTTAAAATTCTACATTGACATCTTGTATTATCCTCAAAGAGGGGAAAAAGCCCAAATTCTGATGCTAAAGGAGATAATGGTCACAGGGAAGGGAAGGATCTTCCCCACAGTTTAGAATAATGTTTTTACTTTGTTTTGTTTTTGTTCACCTTATTCTCTTGCCTGCTTCCATCCCACTTTTTGCTGGGATTGTTGGATCTTCCCAGCCCTGGATTAGCGCTCTCTCTCTCTCTCTCTCTCTGTGTGTGTGTTTGTGTTTTTTCCCTGGAGGTTCAAGCTTCCTCTGGGAAACATTAGGATTTTCCTTCTGCAGCCACATCTCGCTGATTCAGCCTCAAGCGAGGTTCGCTCCATCTTCATCAGGCGATTTGGCTGCCTCCATTTAGCATGGTCCTTTGCTTAAAGTTMWCTTAGCGTAAAACCTGCTTCCTGAAGGTGTGTGACTGTTTCCCYGGCCTCCATTTCCATGTTCCTTCTGTGGCTTTCACAGGTGTTATTACAAACGAGTAGCTACATCTTTGTAGGCAGTAGCTCTTTCATTTCTACACCAGCACCTTTGCATTTGCCAAGGTATCAATCCRTGGAGTTTAGCAGGAACCTGTTAATCTCCAGTGTTAACTGCAGACTTCTTAGTTAACTGCCTCTTCAGCCATTCTGGAGTGTGAGGTTCTCTTCTGGGCTGTGGATCAGTCTATTACTCAGTACTGAGATGCAGATTTAGCTGAGAAGGTCAAGGAAAGACTTATCTCCTGGTAGTGGAAGGGACAATATTTATTTTCATAGTTATACATGTTTAAGCTACAGTTTCTGTGACAGTAGCATAAAATATTTTGTGTGTTGGTTCACGTATGTTCACATTCGGGGAGGTCACATTCCGTCTCCAGTGGAAAATGCTCATGCAGCCTTTCCAGCTGTGCAGAGGACTAACAAATTATTGAAGTTCTTTGTTTTTTTCCATAAATGAACCTATTCCACTCAACTTTTAAGTGGTTTATTACCACTTATATGCCTTTTCTTTTGATTTCTGTTCCTTCGAAGTGGTGGTGGTAGTCTTCACTTTGGGGATAAGTTTCACTTTTCTCCTGTGGTAAAGAGGTACAAGGTTTGTTCCACATTCATACAGGGCTTGTACTTCTGCTGCAGAAGACAGGGCAGCTCTATTATCTTGGGAGCAGATGGTGCCTTCTGAGCACTTCCCTTACCTTGCTTGAAAGAGATGCAAAGCTATTGACATTTCTAGCATTGTCTTCAAAATACTTGCATAGTTTGAAATGAAAAGGAGCTCTTACTGAAGATCTGCAAAAGCAAATTTCTTGTTTAACCTAAAGCAAAAGTTTTTCATAAAGTCTTGAACTTTGGCTCTTTCTGTTTCTGAGATGGGCTGTGCAAACGAGGTAGAACTGAAGCAGTGCAGATTCACGCTGCAGTATCCAGCCGAACACCAGCTCATCCCTGAAACTGTATAAAAGTTGCAGTACAGGCCCACATGTGTTACAGCAGTGAGGCTTAGTGCTGAGTCTTTGCAAAATATATCTTCAGTTCAGTCTAAGTGACTTGTTTTTTACATCTGAAATATCCATTTGTTTGTTAGGAGTTCAGAGTTCATTCTGAGCAGTGAGTTGGCCCTTATCGTCACTGCCAGATAAAGGTTCGGATTGTTTTACCTTTTTAAAGAAAAAATCTTTTCAAGGTGTTGTTCTAGAATTAAATTGTTCTGTATTTATGCATTTTAATATAAGAAACTTTAAGTACATCTTTCTAAGCTTAAAGGCATCTGTTTGTATTGCTTTAGGATTCAAATAGGCCTGTCTCAAAGCTGAGTATTACTGAATCATCAGTTAACTGCAAAACAGAGGGCTGTAGGAAGGGCTATTTTACCCACTTCTCTGCATCCTTCCAAAGTTTATTAAAACTGTACAGCTTTGGTTTGCTCTTTTATGTTGATGCAAACTGAAGAAACAAGGTCAAGTTCTGAAGTCGCATTAACAGTAATGAGATGAAAACATAAAGGATTATGTTAACATTTTGTAAAATAAATAATTATCACAGTAAACAGAGCTAATAAACACTAAATTTGTAGTAAAGAATTGATGGTAAGGGTTTGGAAGAGAACTGAAAGACATCCTATCTCCCTTTCAACTCAAGACCACGAGAGATTAGAACTATCTGAATCACAGAAGTAATTATTTTACAAAATGTTGCTATAAATTGCAAGGAAAAGAAGGCTTTTATTTTTATGCAGATGTCATAAGTTGTTTGAAAAACTTTCTGGAAGATCATTTCTCTCTGATATTGCAGCAAATGCATTTAAGAATTGAGTCACTGCCCTAGTGACACTTTTTCCCTCTCTTCTTTCATCTGAAATTAATTTKGAAGAATTTCTTTTATATTGAATATTATCAGTGGAGTAACAGAGGACAGTAAATGTGTTTGGCAGTTGTACCCTGTGCTCACCTTGCAAATGGGAGAAACTGTGTGCACAAACGCACATAAAAACGGCATAAAAACATAAAGGACAGGAAATGTTTAAAAGTTTTAAGGATGTGATGCTTAACATAATTGATTCATAAGTGTCAAGATTTTAACAGAGATTAATGGCTTGTCTTTATTATACTTTTCTAATGACTTTCTTTTTTCCTAGGCACGAACTCTAACACCTCAGATGGCAGAAACAGATGCAATAAGATTTTTGGTTGGGACGCAATCTCTTAGATATGATAATCAGGTAATTTTATTGTTAGATAACCAGTGTATATTTTTTCTTGTTTTTTTATTAACATTATGATGAAATTTCCTTTCCTTTCCYCTTGCCAATTTGAATAGTAGTGGTAGTTCAGTTAATGATTTTTGTGAAGCAAAATATAGAGGTATCAGTAAGTATGGGTGAATGAAAAGTTATGTGTATTTTTGGAAAATTAAACTCATCTAAATTAAATGACTGAATCAGATTGGTTGCTTACTTTGTTGTTGTTGATTTACATCTTTGGATTGCCTGGAGCTCTCTCTAAAGCTCAGAAGAGATGGGAAGTAAAATAAAATTCTTTAGATTTGAACCCTGATTGACTTTATGCACAACAGGAGTCCCATCATTGTTCTGCATATGTGAAGCCTCATAAACTGTGTTTTTGTGTTTAATTATTAGAAGTCATCTGTGTGTCTTTCTGATCATAAATTTAACAACGATTTAAACTAGGGATATGTGAGAGACTTCCATGGTTCTGCGGGGCTATTTCTTTTGTAGCTGTAGTTAGTTATCTTAAGACTACTGTAATTGTTCTGACTAAAATTCAGCAACTGACTTTGTACTCAAGATTGGACTTGAGACCTGGCTAATTAGGAAGCTCACAGAATGAATACAGGTGCTGAMTCCTTTGAAACTAGTTTGTAGCTGACTGTACAAGAAGATCTTGGAACTGCAGCTTGGGGAAATGAGAGCTGTCTATTTATCATGCAGAGCTTTTGAGTKTGATGCTCAGAGATAATGCTGTGTGGTACTTGGTTTATAACAGTTCAAAGGCATAAGGACTGTGTATGAGTTTCTTTTAATTTCAGATAATACTAGAGACAAAGAGCTGACAGGATAAACTTGGTTAAAATGAAGGCACACAGTAATGTTTTTGTTGGGGCTGTCTCAGATGGCCATCAAGCATTATACTGTGTATTCAACCAGTAGAAAAATACTTTATAACCAGCCAAAGTGTCCCACCCATCTTTATTTCTCAGTTTTACTCATAATTAAATCCTGGTCCAAAATAGTGATTGAAGAGTGATTCTAGCTTCTTGGCTGATAGCCAGGAGGTCTTAAAGAATTTAAATGGACTCATTCAAGTAAGCATAAATTCCCCATCTAAGGAGCACCTCTGCACACATGTATTTCAGCTTTATCAAGCATGCTTACTGCCTTTTTTTTCCTTCCCTCACCCTGTGAATATTATTAATAATAGACACACAGGAAACTTCCTGGGGTAGTGGAGCGAGTTTGGGAGATCTGGCCTTGGGCTCTGCCTCATGCTCTCAGAGCCCCTCAGCTAGTCGCTAAGCCCCATGAGATGCCCTAGGCCTTAAGTCCTTATTGCTTAATTCAGTAGCAGGTTCTCTAGATTTCCTCTAAACTTTMTTACCAGGCCAGTTTTATGAGCTGGCTTGCTGCCTCTCCTGCTGCCCTGCATGCAGCCCCATTGCCTGCAAAGCCTCCCTTGCCTAGGTGTATTGCTGTAAGAAATGACTTGGGCTTTCTATGGAAAATAGTGAAGCTTTCTATTTACACTTTTGTTTCAAAATAAGGGAGAAAATCTTAAGATATGGTACACTTAATATCCCAAATGACGGGGCAATGTGTAGTACGTGGTATTTGCCAACTCAGTCTCTGGTTTCTGCAGCCTGTGAAGACGTGACAAGCAAATCCAGTTTGAGCATTGCCAAACTTGCAGCTATTGGTGATGTTGCTTGAAGCAGAAGCCTCACAGTGGAGGGAAAGTTAGTTATCTGTGACTTGAAGGGGTTTTAGGTGGGATTGAGGGTGTTTTCCCGGTTTATCTATTTAATGACCCTCCCACCCTGGTTAATGGGAGCACCAAATACGGGTTACTGCAGTAAATGGCATTTTGATTTGTGATTCACCTTAAGGGACTTTGGTAGAGATGCCGAGGAGATGCCTTTATTTTTCAGGTAGCTAATAACAAGCTAGTTATGCAGTCAGGAAGGACCAGGTGTGCCCTATATGAAGAGCTAATATATATTAACTCCAAACCCTCTTCTTACTGAGACATATCTCCTCACTTTCACATTCTTGATACACCCAAGTATACCTGATCCAGGAAATTTTGGGAATTTGCTTGGTCTCGAGATGCAAAAGCAAAATATCAGTATTTCTGCTGTGTYTTTTATTAAAAAAGAAACAAAAAACCCTRCTCTTGATGCCATGAAGCTGTTGAAGGTGTCACACTATAAAGTTGTAAAAGAAGCATCTTATAGGTTTTAGCTGTAGTATATATTGTTATTCCTTACCTTGCAATCCTGGGGTCTTTGAAAAGCTGTGTTTTTTGTTTTTTTTTTTTTTTTTTGGTCAGCAGCTTCATCTGTAAGTTTATTCATTGGAAATATTGAAACACTGAAAGTTGCAATTAAGAAAAGGTGTACAGGAGAAGACTGCATAGATGGTGTCTCAATAGAAAGAGGAGCAGTTAGAAATTGAGGCTTAATGATGGAATGATTAAATGCACTGTATAGATAGAGACACTCGAATGGGGACACAGAGTAGATCAGAAAGAGGATGTACTAGAATGTGAAATAAAGTAAAGCCACAATACTGAAAACTTCTGAAAGGCAGGAAGGGGCACTTCATACATTGGGCAATATTTAGTTGGTGTAGGAGATTAATAGGGTCTGGGTTTTCTGGTGGATTTGTAGATCGAGGACAACAAATGAGCTGGGATACCTTGCTAAATAACTGCAGAGATGTCAGTATTCAGAGTGGCAGGAAATGCAGGTGATGGGATTTAAATTTTGAGGAAGGAATTGCTGAGGACCTCATTTGGAGGAAGAGGAAAAGGTAACGTGTAAACTCAGCGTTCAGCCGCTTAAAAATAGTGCCTRATATTGCCAATTGAGATTAGATTGTCCCATTCCTAAGTTTTTATACAGTTTATGAAAAATATCTGTAACACAGCATAACTGAAGCTTTAGTAGTGAGGTAACTCGATAGCTAATATTGCGATGTGTTTGTTTCTCTCTCTCTTTTTTTCATTGCTCATGGGACTGTGCTAGTGAACTTTAAATGAGGATACAGTTCACTGGAAGTTGTAGGCCTTTTGATTTTTTTGTTCATTGTTGAACTTATACATATTCCATATTATATACTAATTCCAATATAATATGTATATAAAAAAAAGAATGTAACTTAACATACAGGAAAAGGCAAGAGTAAGGTAGATCAACTAAAAATATTAGGTGTTTCTTAATCTTTCACTTTAGATCATATGAAAAATAAAATTAAAGTATTACTTTTTAGATGTTTTGATACTTGATGCTTTAGTATTTGGTTGAGTTTTGTATGTGAAGGTTTTCACTGAGGTGAAGTTCTTGAAACAAGAAAACCAGTAACTCCCCAAAACCAAGTGATCAAAAGTCTTCTCACTCTAAGWATCAGCTATCTTAGTTTAAGGTAACAGTTCTTTTCCATCCTAACTCTTTGAGAATGTTTAAATCTGATGATTTGGATAGAGAATTGGTGCAGGTATTTAAAACTACTGTGAGAAGAAATGAATTGAAAAAAGTAATGAGAATAGTTTATTTACTTCTAACTGATATGAAAATTACCTTCAAACTTTTAAGTTGCAACATTGAATATACCTGGGATTTCCTTGAAATATAGAAATTGCTTTTCTGGAGAAATATATCCTGCATGAAATTAGTGTAACACTAAATTGTTAGTATAACAGTTAATTAAAGTAGATATGAGTTATAAAATTCTCATTATATTGTTCTGTGCAGTCACTGTGTATAATTAAGACCCTCAGGAAAATATTTGGAGCCCTAATGTTCTCTTTTGTTTTATTTGCAGATTCACATCATAGATTTTGATGATGAAAATAACATTATAAATAAAAATGTTCTCCTTCATCAAGTGGGTGAAATTTGGCACCTTAGTACCAGTCCTGCTGATAAAGGTGTACTGGCAACATGCTACAATAAAAGTAAGTGCTTTCTACTCACTTCTCGCTTAAGTATTTTAATACTTTCAATGTGTTAAAGTTGAAAACCTAGCAATATGTAAAAAATATAACATAGTATTTCTCTAAATATAATCTCTAAATATATCTCAGTCTTCGTGGATAAGACTGCTCTTCAGGACTCCTAGGCCCTGGGAGCAGGGAGAAAGCCTGAAGAAAGGAGAACTTTCCCTTGGTGGAGAAGATCAGGTTTGGGATCATTTAGGCAAACTGGATATGCACAAGTCCATGAGCTCTGATGGGATCCACTGAGGGAGCTCGCCACTCTCAATCATCTTTGCAAGTCAAGGAGTTCAGTAGAGGTGCCTGATGGTGAATAACTGACTTTATTCTGAAATCAAATAGCACTCCATTCTTAAAAAGGGCCAGAAGAGGACCCAGGAAATTGCAGACCAGTCAGCTTCACCTAAGACCTGTAAAGGTGATGGAGCAGCTCATTCTGGATACCATTTCCAAGCACAAGGTGATTAGTAAGCATGGACACCCAGCCTTTTAGCCTTCCATGAGGGAGTCACTAGCTGGGTGGATAAGGTGGGGAGTAGTGGATGTTGTCTACTGTGACTTCAAAAGGGCTTTTGACACTGTCTCCCATAACATCCTTGCAGGCAAGCTCAGGTAGTGGGGGCCAGATAGGCAGCTCTCTCCTGAGAGAGAACTTACCAAATAGGGTTGCTAGAAATGGGCTTCTGTCCAGACACTTCCCATTTCTGAGATATCTGATGACTGTAATTGAACCTATTAGTTCATATGTATGTTTACTCTTTTAGGTGCTTTTTGTTCTAGACTTTATTTGCTTTACCAAGTTTATGAATATTAAACTTTATTGTTTGAATTTCATGCATCTTCATTTAGAATCATAAATATTCCAAAGAAAACAAGATATGCTTCTTAAACGATTATTGAAGGCTCCAAATAGCAAAATGTGGAACAGAAAGCACACAGCATGAGGTGCTACTAAAAAGTATTGAGTTCAGCAAACAACTTATTCCTTCTAGTAATGCAAACAAATTAAACCTTTTAAGATCCTTTTAGGCATTGGCTTTTATACTATGTTTGTTCTGCTTTACTGTTTTAAAAAGACTAACTTTTTTCTTCATTGAAGTACCAATCAAATGGTACTTTTGGACTGTTGGAAGCAGTCATATATATTTACTCTGTCTCTCATGTGTAAGCATAATAATTCTGGCAAAATTTGATTGTTGTTGAAACTGGGAGCAAGAAGAAATGAGGTGTTTAGCCATTATTAATAACTCTCTTTTGAAATTTTTGAAGTGGTGAAATTTGGCAGAGAAAAGTGGAATTACTTATTTTTTCACTTCAGAGCTTGTTGAAGTAAGCAGATGGAAAAGGGTAAAACACTTACGGAAGAACTTTAACGCTTCCTCCTGTGTATCTGGAGAGATACTGTGAGTTTTACTCAACTTTGTTGCTCTTAGCCAGTTACCATAACCAAGAGATAAGACTCTACTTCACAAAGTAATAGTACAAACCAAAGAGTATTTAAGTATTTACAGATCTCCCTTTCTTCTCTCTTTTTTTTTTTTTCTTGCTTAGAATCAGAAGTGTCCCTTTCACAAGGAAATTTGGGAAATACTGCACTGGAAGTGTGTATAAATAGTGTGTACATGTGTTGAATGTCTTTTACRGTAGTTTAAATATGTTTAAAGAAGAATATTAGAAAAAATACCCCAATAAGTTAAAATACACCTTGGTACCTAAATATTTTTCACAGAATCACAGAATATTCAAGGTTGGAAGGGACCTCTAGAGATCATCTAGTCCAACCTTYCTGCTCAAGCAGGCACACCTACAGCATGTGGTGCAGGGTGGCATCYAGGYGGGTTTTGAAGACCTTGATTTTTAACTGCTGCTAGACATACGCAAGCAGGTGAAATCAAATGAATGCTTAAATAGCTTTTAACCTGTTAACTAGTCAATACTTTTGTCACTTTTAAAATAGTARAAGGCCATTGGTGTTTTTTAAATACCATTTTCAAATTGGTAAAATAAAATTGGCTACAGTTAAAGAGGCCCAGCTCACTTAGTCTCTCCTCATACGAGAGATGCTTCAGTCCCTTAATCATGTTTGTTGCCTTCCACTGCACCCTCTCTAGAAGCTCCATGTCCTTCTTGTCCTGGGGAGCCCAGAACCGCCCCATCTTTTTTACCACTACTCCAGGTGCGGCCTCACCAGAGCTGAGTAGAGGGGCAGAATCCCCTCCCTTGACCTGATGGCAACACTCCTCCTGATGCAGGCCAGGATCCCATTTGCCTTCTTGGCCACGAGGGCACACTGCTCACTCATGGTTAACTTGGTGTCAACCAGGACTCCCAGGTCCCTCTCTGTGGAGCTGCTCTCCAGCAGGTCGACCCCTAATCTGTACTAGTGCCTGGGGTTATTCTTTCCCAGGTGCAGGACCCTGCRCTTGTCCTTGTTGAACCTCAGGAGGTTCCTCTGTGCTCAACTTTCCAATCTGTCTAGATCCCTCTGAATGGCAGCACARACAGGTTTTTTTCTCTTTGACGTTAGATCTTCCTACCTCGATGACTAGCCAGTCATCCAGTGAGATTGTCATCCCAGGTCATCGGTGGGTGGATAGAGGAAGGGCGATTGATAAAGATGTTTTAAGACTTTCATTTTTCATGAACAACTTAACTTCTTTTACCAAAAAGTTTGGAAGAAGAATTTATTTTATTTAAATATCTAGTACCCTTATTTAGAAAAAAAAACAGGCTTTTGGGCATATATGTTATACGTTCATCTGATGCTCCTCTGAAATAGACTTCTATAGTTCATCTGAGTGAATCACTTAAATATTGATTAAAGTAAGAATTTGTGCAGTACTGTAAATGAATCCACATAGATTTTCATTCTGTGTCTTCCTTGTTTTGCTATCTAGCTCTTAAAAATATTATTTATCACCAAACCCAGTAGTATATGCTGTCCCTTCTGCTTTTGGTGGGAGTAAAGGGGAAGTGCATGAAGAGCTGCTGAGATGCTGCTCCTGCTCATCTTGCAAAGTGCGCGAAGAGGGAAGAGGAGCTAGTAGAGCTACAACACGACAAAACCARTTATTATGGTAACCTCAGCCTATGCAGAGTTAAAACTCTGCTCAGACCTGAACAGTATCAGTTATGGTGGTGGAAAAAATGGCAGAGGGGAGAAGACAAGGAATGGCGCAAGTGTCTTGTCTGTCTTGCCTGGTAGTGCGAGCTGGTTTTGGAAGCTTGTGAACCGGTGAGATGCAGCAGCAGCATCAGGGGACTCAGGGTTTGTGCTGTGCCAGCAGTGCTGCTGCTTTGAGAACTTGCAGTGGAATGACAATTCTTCTAAAGTTTAGCTTTTCAGATTGATCTTTGCTTTAACTCCATGGGGAAGAGGGAAAGAGCAATTTAAAATGAAAATGCTGTTGAGTATAAATTGAGACTTGAAGTTGGGCTATTTCCATTGCAGCAGCTATAGAATCCATGTCAGAAGAGAGGTAAGGAAAACAGTGTCTTTGGAGGTAGTCAGTCACAACCCCTTCCAAGCTCATTTTGAAATTAAATACTTAAGCAGTAAGTTTTTACGTTGCTGTTTTCTCCCATATTTGTGCTTGGTTCTTGTTTCCCATTTCCCTTAAGAACTGAGTTTCTTGATCAAAATTGCGCTGTGTGTGTAAAACAATTTAACCCACAGGGCAGGTATGTTCTTCAGCTTCTGCAAAATCAGGTTCCAGATTTTAATAACGTAGTGACACACGAAGCCACAAGAGGGCAAAAGAAAGTACAGTTGTAGGAGACTGTTCTCTGGCACTTTAGATGCCGACTTGCACATACATACGTGTGTATGCACACATACACATATATATACACACACATGCACATACACACATCTGTATTTCATGATGCTTCTGCAAACAAGATAGCTGCCACTGTACAATGATGAAGTTGAGTAAACAGCTTGTTTTTGTTTTTGGAAGCTGATGAAATTTCACTTTCTGGTGAAAGCTGAGTTAGCTCTGAGATCAGATCAGGTTGCTCAGTACAGTTTAGTCCTGAAAACCTGTACGAGTGGAGCCTGCAGAGCCTCTCTGGAGACCCCATTCCACAGCTTGGCTGTGCTCAGGGTACAAAATTTTTCTTCATATCCAACCAGAATGTTTTGTTTCAATTTATGCCAGGTGTCTCTTGTTTTCCTGCTATGAGAAAGGTGAAGAGCTGATATTAAGTAGCCTCAAGCTTCTTTAGACTGAAAAGGTGCTTATATTACAAGAAGAACCATGTCTCCATGGCCTTTTGTTGAACTAGCTTCAGTTGGTAGATGTTTCCTTTTGAAGGAGCTGCTGCCTCTTACTGTAAGCATGTCTATGCAGCAATATGCCACAGAATTGGCTTTTCAGTTTGGGCTGGAATCACCTCTTCTTATTATAGTCAATATATTGTCTTTTTTCCTTTGCGTTAGCTGTTTTCTGTGCTGTGCACAGGATGGAGTCCTTATCTCTTGAGTTTTTTTGTACAATTCATAGCACAGCTAAGTCATCAAAGATTGGTGCTCTTGGCTGATGAAATCCTCTGTTCCAAAGAAACGTTTCAGACGGTATGTTACAAAGAGTAGCTGCTGAGCATTAGAAAGACAGTATCCAAGCTGTGCTGGGAATTAGTGGTTTAGAATGATACAATTTGTACTGAATCATAGCAGACTGGTTATCATCTGTAATGGAACCTCAGCTGGGTCTGCATGTTTATCTGGGATGGAATATGTTATTTGCTGATTGAAAAGGAATTAYAAACTTTGAAGTTGTGGATATTTCAGTTTGATTCTCTGAAATGAGAATCAGAGGTTGATTAATCAGCCTGCATTGCTTGAAAGTGYCCTATTCTCTTTGCTTAGTTAAAATGACTGGGGAGACTTCTTGCCGTGTTCATCCCTCTCATTGTTTCTACTCCTGGATTGAGTATTTCTGTTTGATTTTATTCTTGGT